CTCTCAGACACAATGAAACATATGCTAATACTAGAATTGGTTACGGCTTTGGACTCTATTACCTTCTCGTACTTTACTTTTGCTAGCTCAAATTTTCCTTCTTTGAAAAGTCTGTTACCCTGAAGTTCAGAGTATAACCAAAAGTAGAGAAGAGCCATATGTTAAAAGATCTGGTGTGGCCTGATTCCACACAAGATTAACTAATACAAAACTCTGTAGGCCGTATATATATCGTAGAAAAATATTTGATCCATACCGTGCTTCTGATATTTTCTGCCTCGTTCATGATGCTCTGGAAGTTCAAACCAGTCCAGTCCTGTGACAAGAATCTCCGGATACATAAGAAATGGAAGCTGTTTGCACTTTATATGGTAAGCATCAACACCACACCAACTTACTCTAGGCGTTTCGAAACTAAGGAGTTCAATCTCCCACTGAACATGTGCACCTTCAGGAACGCCAGGCGGTCTATCAGGAGAGTAAACAATCAAAATGTGTTTATTCGTCCAACAAGAGTTTATAAGCTGTCATGTTCAGCGTGATTTACACAGTAAAGAGTATGACCTCGGAAATTTGTCATATGCATAATCAGGGGGACATGTAACAAGAGCTATCTCTCCAGGTAGCATCAAACGAGTACACATCTCAAACCCCTCTGGCACCTGCCAATACGACATTATAATCTTAAGCAACCCCATGTCTAGAAATATATTTCAACCGATGAGCATAAATAACTCCACTAGGTTTTTCTATAAATGATGGAGTAACTGACCAGTCCTTCTCCAGAACTGAACTCCAATGGCTGATCATTATTTTCAATCCTGCTATCATAGAAGACAGTCTTCTCTTCATTGAGAAGCATGCCTTTGCAGTGAACGCTTAACCGACTGTCTTGGAGAGGACAATCCATTGGAAACTCGCCTAATAAGTTGGTGAAACGTTGCAGATCAGAATAGTCTAGCGGATAAAACTAAATGTACAGAAAACAAGAGCTGGAGTCTAGCAAATGCCCCAGCAAGATGTATCAGAATAAGAACCCGCATCATGTTGAAACGAATAAGAAACTGTTAAAAAGAAAGAGTGAAACGTACCTTTTCCATCTCGAACTCGACGTTTTATGAGACGTCCATCTCCAAGCATGTCTCGCACCTGCTAAGTAAGAACTTGAGTGTTAAGTTGCGCAAAATACTACATAAGAAAACAGGATTAGACGAAATTCGTTTTTTATACCTGAATGAAATGGACCAGTTCAACCTCAAAATGAACTTCCTCAAGGTCTTGGACTATATGCATTAAAGAAGATTCAGTCAAGTACTGCTTGCGAACATATATCACTGCCTTCTCCTTCCGAGTCATTGTTCCGATTCCAATTTCAAGACCTTTAGGCACCTACCTAATTGACGACTAATAATCAGCAATGAATTCAACCAGACCAGATATGCATGGACATAGAGTAAAAAGCTAATAATGCCCCATTAAATTAACAATCACCTCAGATTTTCCTAACGTGAAGAAATAAGGTTCTTCTGTGTGAGACAAGATCACTTTTCCATCACCAGATTTAGCCGATATCCTAATATACACCACAAGAATGCGTTAAAACTTCAATCAACATTTCAGCGCACAAGGGAAAACAAGGTTCAATGATCTTTTGACTCAAAAAGCAGGAAGGATCAAGAATTAATTACCTAGCTTTTACTTCATAGGGTTCTCTGGGAGACTCCCAACCCTCACCTTCATAGAGAATCTTTCATACAAAAGGAAAGCAATACTTGAGCCATCAGGAAGAACAAGAAAGATTTTGATTTATATAATTCTGCCACTGCTTATTGTTCCTTACACTACCCTTGCCCAAGCCACAAAAAGAAATACATCATCCCTGACCCAATTGACATGTCTACGATTATGGAAAATCAGGTTCTACCTTCTTGACGACCCCCAGATCATCACTTGCAATCTGGAAAATAACAGAAAGGAAGCGAAAACTTAAGTCAAACCAGATGAAATGCAAGTTCTCAGCTAACTAACGCGATGTTATTTTGGTTTGTGATGAGATCTTGCCTTGGCTTTAGCAAAATCCACCAATTCAATCTCAAAATGAAGCTCATCATCTTTTGGAAAATTGTTTGGAGCTGAGACTGGACAATCATTCTCTGCATAGTGCATTTCAGGTTTCATCTTGAACTGAAACAAATAGAAAAGATAAAGACTCCTTTAGCCATGAAGAATCAAGAAAGTGATATGAGTTAGCTAATGGAACATTTGGCGCACTAACTCAATGAATTTCAGGTAACTCAAGTAACTAAACTAAACCCTCTTCAGAAACCAAACAACGAAGCCGTGAAAAGAGACACGGTTTTGTAATCTATAAAAATGGCAAAGCACTCATAAAAAGCGATATCTTTGAGGCAAAACATGAGCTCAGTACACACAAGTAGCTGGACAACAAAGGATCTTCACAAAGTTTTTGAGTTACCATTGCAATTTCTCCCTTGTGCATTGTGGGAATTCCTTCGAGCAATCCAAGGATCATTTTGCTCTTCCCCAATACATCTCTTATCGGTACACCTTTCCCTGATGAAACATCAACCACATTCGAATAAGTCCCTAACAAAAAAAAGCTCAAAGTAACTCCCTAATGAAAAGAAAATGTTCTTCAGTCTCACCTCCACATTCCAACCTCGTAGATTCCACTACTACACCATCCAGTGTTCGTACAGTGCAGTGATAAATAACCTAAGAAAAAAACAACACATTAAGCATCAAAATTTGACCACTCTTTGTCTCTGTCTCGTTAACCAGATCTCCCACGCACAAGAAAACAAAGTCAAAATTTCATTACCTGATCACCATCCACAGGGCTTGACTCGCCTCCTCCAGGTCTCACCAGTGCTTTCAACAAGCTCCCCGGAACGATTTTCTTCCTCCTATAATCAGATATACGTCAAATCAATAACCAATTTCACTAGTCCTAAGCTACAAAATCAACTAATTTCAACAAAAACACATGAAACCTCTTTTCATCTTCCGTTTCGGGTTTCTTCTTCTTCGGCAAGTGATTGTGCTCCGTCGCATCGCCCACCGCCATCGCCGATCAAATCCAGAGCTCCGCGACGATTTCGAATTAGGATTTTGTGGAACCCAAACTCAGAATTGAAAATACGCAACGTAAAATCGAAGCCTGAAGCAAAATCGAAACTGAGTTTGAATCTCTCTACCTTCTTCTCTTGATACTGGGTAGCTCAACAACTATGATAAATAAATTCCAGTAAATGAAAATAATATAGGAGCGGATTTGACTATTTGTTTTTTGTTGAGATATTTTTTTGAGATAATTAGTTGAAATACTCCTACCATTTATTGACATTAAAAAAAAAATAAGAAATAAACTGGCGCGTTACCCCGAGAATAATAAAAATCTTTACTGCAAATATAAGTTGTTGATACTAATGTTTACATGACGGTATATTTAAATGTCAATGACTTAAATTTAAACATTGTTTAAATATTTTTTTTGTGATTGATAACCCTTAAAAAAAACATATTAAAGTGAAATTATTATATTCGTACCAATAACATTTATTTAGGTTTGCTGATTATTGTGATTATGTTGAATTTATAGTTAACCTAAACATATTTCTTTTAAAGTTTTTTCTTTTTCAGCTATAAGCATTGTGTTTGCTTTACAACATATATTCTTTCTACTATATCCTTTGCTAATTTCATAATTTCAGGTATAAGTCTCATACTAACGCCTATGTTCTTCTATTCCATGCTATACTGGTTAACTAAACCCGGTTGAAATAATCATTAGGTCCTCAACTTGAAAAAGATACTAATTCCTTCATTGGCAAGATTATTCATTTCATCTCATATAAATACAACTGTTCTTCCTTCGACCACTGTTAAAACCAATATACAAACAAACCTATATAGCTTCTTTAATAATCAGAATTTTTTTTTTTGTTTAAAACTGAATATCATGCAGAAACGTAAAAAAAAAAAAGAGAACATACTTTCTAACACTCTAGTAAAAACATGATTGTAATTTATAAAATTGAAATTCAAAGATCTTAAAGCCAAAAAAAGTTTAATAACAAAGTTTAAATTAGTTAGTGACTTAAATTTCTTTTGTGAGAAACAAACTTAGATTATTCTCCTCCGTTTAAAAAAGTTCTAGAATTGACAATTTCCAAACCGTTTCAGTATTGACCCGATTGTCATCGGTGGGTATTTTGACAGCCTCTCAAGGTTTGAGAAAGTTCTCCAGCAGCAGGAATGGTCCAAGATTATAGCCATTGTGAAAACGTTTTGAGTACAGTGAGAAGAGAAAGAGAATCCAAAAAACAACTTAACATTCGGAAACCAAGGCCGAGGGCACATGTCATGATGTCGACTATTGGGAGATTATCCTTGTACTTGCATCCTTAAAACACTAACCAAGGCCACAATCCAGAAAGTCAAAATGCTGGTTAATTATTTGAACTTGCCTTATGATTTGGTTAGATTCGGTAGAAGAAACATTTCAAAGCTAGTATGAGAGATTATTTTGGAAGGAAATATATATAAGTTTTAAAACTACAAAACACTATTTTATATATTTTGATGACATTTTTTGGATCATTAGTCTTCAATCATTTTTCAAATTAACTTCTTTTCTTTTTATCAACAAATTAAGAGTTGTGAGAACAAAAGAGTGAGAGAGGAATAAGAACACTAAAGCAACAGCCCGGTGACAAACTAATATTTATTTAATTTCCCAGCTACAAACCAAAAAAAACCTAAAAAAGAAAAGAAAACCAAATAGTCTCATCTCTATCAGCCATCAATGGTGGTTATACGATCCAAAACCTCGTCTTCTCCACTAGCTTTCATCTTTTTCTCCTTTCCTTTATTTTCTACATAAACCCTAATTTCACCACTATTTCACACTACTTGTCATCAAATCTGCAAAATCTTTCACACCTAAAAACACCCAAATGTTACGAAACTCAAACCGGTCAGTAAGCCCAGTCCGGTGGTAACCTAGGCTCGTTCACTGACTGCTCCGCACTCATCTGACCCATGAATCCGCCATTGTTGCTCCTTTGCCTCCAAACATCTGCTAGTTTAAACCAAAATGATTATAAAATTTGACTTCTCAATAAGCTTAAAATAAGCACTCATTATGGCCTTGAGATTTCTCTATCATACCGTTGTCACTCAGGACCTGCACCACCCTAGCCGGAACCAAAACCGCCTTAAGAGCTAAAAACCCAACATTTCTCAACAGTAAACAAAACAAAAAAACTTGAACATTTTTGGGAATTGAAATCTTTAGAAACTTACTTGGTTTCTTGCGAGTCTCGGCGGTTACAGGGGAAGTGATATTGTTAAAGCGTTGTGGCAAGAACACGCCGGTTCCGGTTGATCCACTTTTTCCGGTACGATCTCCGAGGAACACAGCTCGCATACTCGAACCACCAATATCACGCCTCGGAAGCTGATTAGACCATGCAAGTGACGACAAATCAACATGACCGCCATTTTTAAGTCCTGCTCTGCTCTGATACACCAAT